GTATGTATTCAACTTTCAATGTACTCGCTCGCCCTCGTTTTTGAATTCTATAATGTCAAAAAAAAAAGACTCCTAATGTTAACTGTTCCGAATTGACTGAATCACAGCAAAAATCACATACCGGTGGATATAATTTGTAGAATGGCGAAGCCGCAAGTTGATTGGCTAAGAAATACTCATAGAGATTGTCATAAATGGACCGTTGACGTAACATTTCCAATGTGTATGGATCCAAATCGGGTTCCTCCCGTGGCAACGATTTCAGCATCGCATTCTGGCCAACTATTGGACGCGGCCCCATTCCTGAAATCGTGTAGTATTTACATTTAAAGAAATAAAAGAACTTACCCTCCAAAAATGGTACTTTGTTACTAATTTTCAACAAAAAATTTTCATTCACTGGTTGAACGGCAAGACGGCAAAAAACGGCAAGACTGATTCACAAAGCCTCAGCAAAAAGCGAATGAATTTTGATAAGAACTGATAATAGTCTAATAACACTACGATCATGTATGCCTTCTTATCATCCCCATCCCATTATAGGTTTTCTCTTCCGTGAAGTACCAAACGGTTGCCTGCCTGCTAGTTCGGCTTAGGGTAATCCTACTCCCGGAGATCCCACATCCTTGAAAATTCAGTTTTATGGTTATGAATGAGAAAGGTGTTAAAAAAGAAAATACTGCTTTGCAAGAGTGCGTAGGGGAGTACCCAGTAACACCAAAAAAAGGGTCAAAAGTAGCTAACCAGGTGGAACTGGTGTTTGCTGCATTGCAGCGGCAGCGGGTGACCAGGGATTCATTAGGATTTGCTGTTGCTGGTGTTGCTCCTGCTTTTGCTGTTGCAGATGCGGCTCAACGACCGGCTGAGGTAAATTGGATGCACACTGAGTAAAATTAAGGTTTCTCGGATCCGTGAACGGAAGAGGTGGTGGATTTTCCGGTTTCATAATGAGCGGTTTTGCTGGCATTGCCATTGGATTTGCTGGATTGTTGCGCAAAGGTGCTCTAGTCTCAGTATACGCTGAGTCTGCAGCAGAAGGGCCTTCGAGATTCAGCTTTAATAATTCCTGAAAATCCAGAGTAGCAGCTCACAGCGTTTAATTTGAGATATATTTATATCTCTATATTGCCCGTTGTTTACCAATGTATTGCCTATAACTTATGTATTTTACATGCTTGCCAGCAGTTGTTTGAGGAGTCACTGAGTAGAATGCTGGTGGTATATATGTTATGGGCAATATATGGGTGCACTGACGAAAATACCCAAATTCTTATACAAACTAAAATTTTCAAAAAATCTGCTCATGCATGAAGTTCAAGAATAAAACAGAAACAATTTTAAATATGTTATTTTGTCGCTTTTCTTCAAAACACTGATTTTTCTTACAGGATGATAAGCTATTAAAAAATATAAAGACTGGTGTGAGTTTTGGGAAAAGATGCATGAAATTATTCGGAAGGAATTTTTTAAAAAAAGAAGCCTTCCCAAAAATGCTCCTTGATGTTAAAATGTACAAAAGTATAATGATTCCCGAAATTAAGGCGCAGAAAGGTTCTTAATTTGAAAATTACGTAAAATCGAAAGTTTT